GGAGATGGCCATGCCGGCTCGGGGAGACAGGGGCAGCTGGAGCCCGGGCCGGGCACGGAGGGACAGCCAGGCGGGCACAGACCGGCGAAAGGTTTGGTTCAACATCATCTCGTTTGCGCTTCTGAGCATGTGCGTGACCCCTGCGTGACCTACCGGCGCAGCCTTGTGCCAACTTCATCAACCCACAGGGAACTTGGCCTTTAAAGCACCAAGTGCCAGCTCCCATAGAGAGAGAAAGAAAAGCAGAGCTGAATTTTATAGCAGTACCTTCTCTGAGAAGGAACAAACAGGTCAAACCTACAAATTTGATGGTGAAAGATTTTTTCTGGATTTTGATTAACTGTGAATTGACGGTGTTGGGACTTGTTCTCGCACATGTCCTGAAACCCTTCAAACTGCGTTGTATGTAAACAGCTGGGTTTGTTTTAATTTTGTTTATTTTGTGCAATAAACTGCTACGTTCTTGTTGAAACCCAAATTTGCCGCGTATGCGTCATAAGGAAAAGCTGGAGCTTTTTGCACTGGAGCTTGGAGGTTGAGAGGCAGGTTGATAGAAGTCTATAAAATAATCATAGAATCTCTACAGTGTGGAAACAGGTCCTTCAGCCCAACAATTCCACACCGACTGTCAGAGCATCCCACCCAGACCCATCTAATCTACACATCCCTGAACACTATGGGCAATTTAGCATGGCCAGTTCGCCTCGCCTGCATGTCTTTGGGCTGTGGGAGGAAACTAGAGCACCCAGAGGAAACCCACGCAGGCACGGGGACAATGTACAAACTCCACACAGTTGCCCAAGGGTGGAATCAAACCTGAGTCCCTGGCGCTGTGAGGCAGCAGTGTGAGCCACTGTGTCGCCTGAGAGGTATAGGTGGAGTTAATAGTAGTTGCCTTTTTCCCTATGATGGGGTAATTTCAAGACTAGGGGGACACACGTTTAAGGTGAGAGGAGAGAGATTTAAAAAAGACCTGAGGGGCAAGTTTTTTTACACAGAGAGTGGTTTGCATGTGGAGTGAACTTCCTGAGGAAGTGGTGGATGTGGGTACAATTACAACATTTAAACAACATTTGGATAGGTACAAGAATAGGAAAGGTTTGGAGGGATATGGGTTGGGAGCAGATAGATGGACTAATTAGTTTGGGAGTATGTTTGGCGTGGACTGGTTGGACCGAAGGGTCAGTTTCCATACTGTCTGACTCTATGTGCTTATGTTGCAGTGCAAGACTGCCACGTTAAATTAAATAAAGAATAAATTTGAACTATCAAGCCAGATTTCATTTTGGGATCTGAGCTATCCAATAATAATATCTGCTGGGTTCATAACAAGGGGTGGCTCTTTCTGGAATCTGAGTTCATTGAATCTAAGAGGGAACTGTGCCTCTTAAAGAAACCGTTATGTGGAGATGATGGCTGTGTTGTGGTGAAGCTTATTGCACAAATTTTGAAAATGGGTTTGAATGCTGCTTGGAGTTTTCTGGAAGTAGAAGACACAACAGTTACAGTTGACATTTTTGACAAATTGAGAGAATTAGTGGATAAATGAAAGGTGGAAGTAAAAGCAGGATCTCAAAGAATAGATCGTTGGAGTGATTATCCAGCATTTAAATGTAGAACGGAAATCTCTGGGATGTCACAGCTAGAATTAGCTAAGGCAGAGGTAGAAATTTAAAAAAACTTGGCTTAGAGAGCCATGAAAAGACTTGAGTTAGATGAGAAAGGGAAAAGAGAGGATAAAGAAAATCAGAAAAGCGGAAAGCAAGGAAAACAAAAAGAGGAAAATGCAAACTGAGGAAGGTGAAAAATAGAGATAATTGGAAAATAAGATGGAATTAAAAAGGCTTGAACTCCAGTGAGAAAAGAAAATTGAACATGATTTGGTCATAAAAAAACAACTTCGAATAAAGAAGAAAAGAAGAGATAATAGCTCAGATGATGATTCTGATGCCAATGAGGGATTTGATTTAACTAACAATCTACATTGCCTAACAATCTACATTGCCTAAATTTACTTAGAATGGAGTAAAGATATATTTCACCTCACTTGAGAAGATAGCTGGAGTGATGAAGCATCCAAAAAAAAATTTGGATGATCATGTTACAAAGTATTTTTGCAGGTACACCTATGACTATAAAACTGTTAAAAATGCAATACTCAATGCTTTATGAGCTTGTGCCTAAAGCTTATCAATTAAAAGTTAGGACTGCAGGAAAGAAACCTAATCAGACTGGAAAGAGAAATGTAAAGGAATTTCAGAAGCAGTTCAAAATCAAACTGGTAGAACTGGTTAAAACCAGTATGTTATCACTATCTATTTGGCACAAAGGTATATTGCAAGAATATAACTAGTACCTTACGTGGAATAAGAAGTGATATCATGATGTATGTAAAGTGAATTGTGATTGGGTAGAATAAAGGGGTTGTATGTGTAGAATCACGTAATTGGACAACCTCGGAATGCGGGTAATAGTTTAACCATAATCCTTTATAAATGGGATTATGCACTGCATTTGGAAGCATGCAATAAAATTGGTAAACAAAGGATCGCAAGTCTTGTCTGATCGCTGAGGGTATGGGAGAGAGGAATCCCTTGATTTTTGTGGAATTTGCTCGGGAAAAAGAAATACTGTAGAATCAGAGATAGTAAGAACTGCCGGTGCTGAAGTCAGAGATAACACAGTGTGGAGCTGGAGATTGTTTTATCATTAAACCTGGAGAAAAAGAAGTTGGAATGTAAGGAAAATTACAATTATGGAAGAATTCAGAAATAGCATTCCTGCAAACCAGGCTGTTGTGATTATTTTATGTTAAAAGGGGAATCACTTCCTTTGGTTTACATCCTTGATTCAAAACATATCAAGATATAGAGAGACATTGGAACAAGTCACACACTTCTGCTTACTAATGACACCAATTGTCTTCGATAGGGGTTAATAAAAATAATTAATTGGAGATATATGTGGAGGTTAAAAATCAGTTGCATTATACAGAAATTGAATAAAAATTGATCTAGTACATGAAAAAAAAATTACAGCTGGAATAGAGAAACAAATTCTTATAGAAAGAATTGGTTTTATCATTGGAAACGACCTGGTTCAAAAATACTGGACTCATGAAGGTGGTGACGTAAGCAGTAGAGGTAAATAAAAAGCTGAGATGTTGCAGGAGGAACGTTCTGGATTGTTTCCTGGCTGTATTGTGACTAGACAAGAAGAGGAAGGGTCTACAAAACAGGGAGATAGCTTGGAAATTCAGTTATTGGATACAATTTTCAAGAATTTAAAAAAAAAAGATGCAGATAAAGAGAATGATGCTGACATGTTTATTCAATCCCCTTTAATGAAAATGCAATGAGTGGATCCTGAATTGAAAGAATAATACCAGATGGCCTACTCAGAAACTGAATCAGAACCAGTGCATGAATGTTGTTACTTGAAAGACAAAATATTAATGAGGATGAGGAAGACCATCTCAAATACCAACCAAGTGGAATGGGCATCAAGTTTAATTTGGATAAATGCGATGTATTGCATTTTGGTAAAACAAACAAGGGCAGAACTTATACAATTAAAAATAGGGCCTTGGAATGTGTTGTGGAACAAGATACTTAGGGGTTTGGGTACATAATTCTTTGAAGTTTGCATTACATATACATAGGGTGATTAAGAAGGCATTTAGTACGCTTGCCCTAATTGCTCAGATCTTTGAGTATAGAAGTTAGGACGTTACGTTGAGGTTGTACAGGATATTGCTGAGGCCTCTTTTGGAGTACTGTTTCCAGTTCTGGGTTTCCCTGTTACAGAAAGGATATTATTAAGCTGGAGAGGGTTCAGAAGAGATTTACCAGGATGTTGCCTGGGGTAGCTGGACAGGCCAGTCAAAATGGCAGAATTGGATAATACACCAAGCATGCTGGGAAATCAAACCAAGCATTGGCCAAAGTATCTGTGCAAAGGTACTGAAATAAAGAAGCTGCCATCTGCATGGCACTGCCTGATTGGGTTTGATCAATCAGGGTAATTGATTCCTGATCCATTGGTGGGAATCGAAGATCCTCCCAAAGGGGTGCGGAAGTTTCCAAAGATAAGAATCACTGCAACAGCACTCTCGGGAGCGATAACTCAAGATCAACCACTGTAAGAAGAGGCACCCTGGGACCACTGGGAGAGGAAGACCAGTCGACCATCACCACATGGAGCAAGGTCAAGGTCTAAGTGTGGTGATGTTTGATCATTCCAAGTTAAGTTCAAGTACAAGATACTGACTTAGATTTACAGTATTAATTGTCAGATTTCTCGTGTTAATTGTTAGTTTGTAGCATAATTGTTATTGTAGTATTATTGTGTTATAATCAATAAAGATAATTTCATGTTACTATTGAGTTGTCTCAAAATGGCAGAATCGGATAATATACCAAGCATGCTGGTGTAGTCCTTTGCGGGATATGCGAGCTAAACACACTGTGGTGAGCGCAACAAATTGGCGACTCTGGTGGGACTTGATAAGAAGTGACTTTGTCACTCTGAGATCGAACCCCAAGGAACTTGATATTCCCTGAAATTTTGCATGAGCCCAAATTAAGAGGACTGAGTCCCACGTGATGGCTAGGAATTCAAGTAAATAGAAAGGTCTACATTAGACTGTTCTTTAAAGAATAAAGCCAAATTGTGTTTACTCAAGCAAACGTGTGTGTGAGTGACAGATAGAGAGAGAGAGAGATGTGCATATGGGGATGTTATAAGGGAAGAAGAGCAGGAAGTAGACTGAGATGAGCCCAGGGAAGACACAGCAGTATGGCATGTGCGCGGAGGATTGGGATCCGCCAGCCCCCTTCCCAGAGGTGACAGCCCCTTCAGTGCCCCCGTGCTGTAATGAACCCAATTACCACCGAAAGACGGGTCGGGGATGCCGCCGACGCCCCAGCAGTAACATACACTACCCCATTTACAGGAGCACGATTAGCAGACATTGCCAAAAGACTCCAGATTTTGAGCCATCGGCAGACCCATACGTATTCTTCAATAGGATCAGACAACAAAAGTTTTTTGCGTGGCCTAGATGAGAGAGAGGAGGTAAAACTCATTGTAATGTGTTTGAGCCAGTCAGTGCAGTCTGCAATCCCAGCCCCTCTAAAGGTAGGGGAAGGCACCCTAGCTGATACAAAGAGGCAATCCTAACAGCAATTGGGTGCAATAGAGGAGACCCTGTAG